ATGCTTCCTCAAATAAACTTTGCACTGATCGACTTTTAATTTCATAATATTGCCTCCTGCTCCCATTGCAAAGCACACACCCCATTTTAGACAATTCATTTTCACGCTCACAAATGACGCAACAGAAGCATATCTTCGAACAACTTTACTGGAGTATTCTATTCTTGCATATCCACATGTATAAAGTTCAAATCTAATAAAGAATAAATAGAACAGAAATTTTAGTTGAAACCTTCAATGAATTTTCGAACAGCCTCGTAACTTTTCGGATCCTTCTCATCGAACTCAGGCAGAATCATCTCGATAAATCTGCATCTTCCTCAACGTTCTCCTCCATTTCCTTTCAGAACTATCAAAAACAAGACAAGCCCACAAAATTTAGCATAAAAAACAATCACCCCACTAATTAAAACCAAATTTGGCATCTTCGTATGAGTTTATTGAATATTAGCAACAAAAACAGGTACCTGCATTAGGTTTTTTTTTTCTTGATCCCGAGGTTCGAGAAACTGGATCGAGTCTCCTCAAGGATATCAAAATTTGGGTCAGTTTGTGAATCATCGGAATCATATGAATTTTTATCCAATTCACAGTAAACTACTCGCCCATAAATTTCCATTTGTTCTGAATTCATTTTTCTCCGTGCAGCACGGAGCTGTCTCCCAGCTCCGTGATGCATGAAGGCGCATGAAAGCCTAGAAGCTTCTACTCCCTTCTTGAACTCTCTCTGTATATAAACCCAACTTCGCTTGATTCATTTTGCTCGTACAAAATCGAATTCTATTTTCTCTAAATTCTAGCTTTCCCAACTCTGAACAGAAAAAATATTGTCCCCTTCCAAAACCACTACTGCTATTCTCCTCCTAGAGAAGTCCTCCAAGGTACTGTTGAATTTATAGCTTATTGATTTTCTTCAAAATAAAGCCTTTATTCTATCTGGTCTTCAGTTGGCTGCTTTTCTTTATTAGAAATGGGCATTGACTCCGTGGCAAAATGTTGAAATCCATGGAGCCACCCAGAAAACTAAGACAACTTTGATCTCTCCTAAGGCAGTCAGATCGCTGCAAGGAAAAAACACCCAAAATCCAAACGATATCGTGTTGGTTGACAATCCAATTTGGTGACACCTGTTAAATGCACAGTATATACAAGCGTTTATATTATTGAAGAGCCTCCGTTCAGAACGGAGAGATGTACTCCGTTCTGAATGGAGAGGATTCTTCGTGCTTTACAAAGAAATTCTCTGCACTATTTTTTATTTTTATATTAACTTTTTCATCTAATCGTATTGTTGTAGAATTATTTGTGAAAATGTATGTATAGCCAAAACACTAAACAACAAGATATAATCTTCGTTAATCTTGTTGTATTTTCTATTATTCTTTCTCACCATAAACTTCAGTCTTATTGTGAAGATAGTTCTGATCCTCTTTGGCAGAAAGTAATGAATGATGAATTACAGACACTCGAAAACAATCACACCTGGGATCTAGTGGACCTACCAAAAGGCAAACATACTATGGAATGCAAATGGGTCTACAAGATCAAAACTCACTTTGATGGGTCCATTGATCGGTACAAAGCTC